GTGATTCTCGGGAGCGCCAGGAGGTCACCGATGCCAGACTCGACGCAGAGAGCGGCCTTGGAGCGGCCCACGACCATGGCCCGCCGCTACAAGGAGCGCCAGCAGCTGCGTGTATGGAATGAGAACATAGGAGGCCCTGATTCTCGGGAGCGCCAGGAGATCGCCGATGCCAGCTTCAACGTAGAGAGCCCCGCATGAGGTTGGCCTGGAGGTTATCACGAGCTTCTGCGGCGTCGAGCACAGCGGTAGAACAGTCCCAGGGGACCACATGAGCTGGACATGTGTCTTCCAGTAGCGGTAGAACGACGTGAGTATTGACAGGGAGGGTTGTGGGGGCAGTGCATTCGTGAATCTGGTGTTGAATATGTCCGAGCATTGGGGGGGCTCCCAGTTCGCCGCACTAGCGCCAAATCACCAAACCAGCACAACAATTGAGGCATTTCAGCTCATAGGTTTGCAAGTCTCCAAAGGCCCAAGCTTACTAAAGCCCACATGGCATCTACAGTCACCTTGTATTGGAAATTTGGTAGCTACAGCCATGCTTGCTATTTCAGCTCCGTTTGGCAAACTCTCACCATCACCACCACCACCATACACACCATACCCACAACACAACAACAATCCCACTATCCAACCCAAATGGCCTTCAGAAAGTGGCTAGACGACAGCAGGAAGAAGTTCCTGTGCAAGGGAGCGGTGCTCAAAGAGCACATCAAGAACAAATGGAACCATTTTTGGGATATTTCCCACAGCGTGAGCCACACGCCTGTTGAACCAAGCTCCAGTGACGAGGAGGACGAGGACGAGGTCAACGACGACGACTAGGCTGCATAGGCAGCGAGATGAACGACTTTTGGGCTGCAAAGGCAGCGGTACGAAACAGCTTTGAGGACGACGTTGAACCCCAACGTTTTGACGGCGACTCGACAGTAAGGCTAGGAGGTATCCGAGGCGATAGAGCAAGACGTCGGTGGGCCGCAAGGTGGGCGAGGAGACGACTGTGACGTTTGTAGGTGGTGGAGGTTGATGGGAAGATGGGTCGTGGAGGTCACAAAAGGTTCGCAGACTCACCCAGGCTTACCGGATGAAGTACCCTGGTCACTACCAGCGTATTCTGGGATCTCAAAGTACCTCGGGAACATGCACGTCAGCATCTCGGGCTGCAGCAACTTATAAATACGGTCGGACATTTTGGATGGCTTCTGGTCCCGCTTCCTTGGCAAACCATCGCCTATTCGCCGGTCGCCGTTTCAGCCTTTCGCTTCAACCACTCGCCCTCGCAGCGCATATTTTCATCGCAACCGGTCAACAGCCTTGGGAACACAGATATGCACGCCTCTGCACGACTAGTTATCTCGCTCCAATCGTCGCGACCCCTCATTCTGGATGCCTGTTGTTTCGAAACACGGACAGGCCATGAAACGGCTGCCATCAGCGTTCGCCGCGTTTCAGGTGAACTACGCCTCCTCCACAACGCTAGCCGCATTTCTGGTCGCTGCAGCTGAGGCTGAGAATGTGGTTGGGGGTATATAGCCGGCGATGGAGGCATGTTGGTGTTTTGGTCAGGACGTCGTTTTTTCATGACCAGCGCAGTGCGCATTGAATACATTTCTTTCTTGTACATCTTATCCTCTTCTGCATCATGAGCGGTTACGAACATTCAAGCGCTGGCTCGCTGTATACATACGATACGACTGATGATTTTGGTAACGAAGTCTTCGACACTGCGTTCTCAGCATGGAGCTATATGGAGGATCAGCCCAGCATCGCCAACAAGTACCAACAAAGCCCTATCGGTATGGAAGACTACTCCCAGTGCCCCAGAGTAGTGCTTTGACTGACCCGAAAACAGAGACTCTACAAAATCTTCCTCGACAATGGCCGACCGCAAACACCGTACGCCAGCCCTTCCTTTCGTCGCAACACCTCTCCGCTTCGAGCTTCTCGTCGGCAATGTCCAGCTATCGATCGTCGGGCAACAGCAGCTTCTCGCAGACCCCTCTTCGAGACTCAATGTCATCGTCCATATCAGCCTACTCGAACACCTCCGACATGTCGAGGAACCAACACTTTTCCATGGCCGAACATCTCTTGTGTCACGGTCCCGCCGATCCACCTCTATATTCCCCCACTCCAACAGAAGAGCCCTCCCAACGTTCCACCAAAGCAAAGTCCCCCAAGAAACCAGCCCCGCAATCAAAAGACTACTTCAAAACCTGCGTCTCCGCACACAAACAATCCCGCCTCTGCCCCAAGCCCCACGCCTACTTCTGCACCATCTGCACCCGCCCCTTCATCTCAAAAGCAGACTGGAAGCGGCACGAAGAAACCTACCAAGAGCGACCCGAGATGTTCGTTTGTGGACTCTGCGATCACATCTATTTCCTCGCTAAGGACTACACGAAACACCACTCTACGGCTCACCGATGCACGTCCTGTGCCGAGGTAGGCGGTGGGAAAAAGGTTCATGCGCTGTCTGCGAGACGGCGGCGTATGACGAGGACGGGCTGGGGCTGTGGGTTCTGCGTTCATTTTAGTAACGAGTGGGGGGAGAGGTGTGATCATGTTGCGCGGCATATGGGGGAAGAGGGGAAGGGCGTGAGGGAGTGGAAACATACTAATGTTATCTACTCTCTACTCCAACGACCAGCCATACACCACGAGTGGACAAGATTAGTCCGCGCACTACCAGATATTACTAGCTTCGGATGGAACAGGACGACTACTGGACGCGTCGAGGGGTATCCGGAGAGTAATCGCACGCCTCAGCTGCAGGATTACCTAGAGTATTTTACGGAGGATCAGGACGCAGCGGCTGTGGCGAGGTTGGCGTATGGGAAGATGAAGAGGGTGACGAAGCCGATGAAGGGGGATGAGAGGCCGCCTGTTCCGCCGAAGGATTATCCTGTGGAGGCGGGAAGGGATTGGGATGGTGAGATGGATCTGTGGGGGCAGCTTACGAATTCGGTTGTTGAAGACGAGGTGCTACCTACGGGGATTAGTCGATTGGGGGGATGGTATGGGGGGTCATGATCTTTTGAGCAACTCGTGTTCTGCGGGTTCTAATGTATAATGAATTGATGGCCATGTTGTCAAGAGGATCTACAACAAACCCATAACGTCGCATGATCAACATCCTCGCCATCACCACCCCTCCAACTCCTCCCCCTTCGTCTCTAAACTCGGCGGCTGAACAGGCATACCCTTCTTCAACGCACCCACAAGCGGATCTTTGCTCATCATCTCCCGTATCTTCTCATCACTGCTAACATCAGCCTTGACCCGCTTATACGCCATCCTCGAAGGCTTATCCACAACATTGAGAAAGCTCTCCCTTCTCGCCGCCGACCAAGCGTTCAACAACCTCTCACCATCCGCCGCCTTCCCAGTAAGAACCCGAACAAGAACCTCGGACAGCGAAGACGCATCCGCCATCCCAGACGCCAACCCAAGTCCCGCATACGGATTCGTCAAATGCGCCGCATCCCCCACAAGACAAACCCGCTCCTCGTGATGATACAACGACGGAACAAGCCGCTGTTGCGCTTTATACGGCGCCACCCTCACAACCTCATACACCTTATTTCCCCGCTCATCCCGTCCTCCATCCGGCATCATAACCCCCAACTTCTCATCCAGCGTCCGGTTGATCTCCTCCTCAGAAACACCAATCGGGACTCCATAACTCACGCGCCATAAGGCGGGTTTCCCATCCTTCGCATGATCAATACGGCCAATGAGACCGTAGTTCACCGGATCCACAACGAAATTCGCGTCGTGGAAGCCGTGGGCGTGGAAGTCGAAATAAAGGTCTGTGGCTACGAGTTGCGCGTCGAGTGTTTCGCCTTCGAGGCTGATGTTGAGGTCTTTGCGGATGGTGGAGTGGGCGCCGGTTGCGTCGATTAGGTAGGCGGCTTCGAGCGTTTCGTCGCCGAGTTGCAGGGAGGTGGCTTCGGGGGTGATTTGCACGGTGACGCTGGTTGGGGTTGATTTGAAGGATGAGACGCTTGTTCCGAGGCGTACTTCGGCTTTTTCGTCGCCTAGAGCTGCTAGGCGCTTCATGAGGATTTGTTGGAATTTTCCTTGTGGTAGGAGGAGTTGGCCTTTTCCTTTCATGCCTTCGCCGGTGTTGTCGAATGTTTTTTCTGCAATCACTTTGCTGCCGTTTTGGATGCTTGTTCGGAAACATAGACCTGAGCTTAGACTTCCTGTCTTGACCAGTTCCGGTAGTAAGCCTTCGACTTTGGATAAGATGGGATATGTAGGCGGTTGATGGGCCATTGCGCGCGTTGACATGGGGTCTGGTTGCTGTGGTTCGATGACGACCACTTTGTTGGGTATGTCTGACTGTGCGAGGAGGAGGGCTAGGAAGAGACCGACGCAACCGCCTCCTGCGATCACGATTGGAAGAGGTGTAGCATTGCTGCCGTTGGTGCCGTTCGTGTGAGAGAAGCCGTAGGAGAAGTCGCTAGAATCGTCGCCAAGACTCATGGTACTATTCGGATCGAGATTGATCTGAATAGCATCGTAGTCTCCCATGGCTGCTGAACAGTCTAGAAGCTTCAGTGTTGGGTGGTATTTTCGTAATTGAAGAAGGGGAAGGTGCTTATGATGTCGTTGGTGGTATGAGTCTGTATTCAGATGCGACGTCAGTCTCGTGGTATATCATTAGAAAACCCATCTTAGTATTGCGCATATGTATGTACGGCTCTCGGTCGGATACCGAGCGATGTTCCCGTCGATGTGGTGCTGTCATTGTGGTACCTGCCGCAACGGCCCCGATGTGGGGAACCGGCGACTTTAGCCTCAGGGTCCAGCCGACGTCAGAGGGTTTCAGCGATCTTCGACCGACCACCGACATCACAGTCAATGTGGACGTGCGTGAAAAGGCAATGTTCATTCATTTATTGAGGCTAGCTGTATAACCCTGTTTATGTCTAACAATCTACCTGACCTTGGTATATTGCTGTCCAGACAATTTCTCTACCATCGATGTCTTGCTACCCCCATACTCCTACATCCTGTACATCTTGATTCTGTTCATTCTCTGTAGGTCCCAGGTATGGATAATAGTGCTGAATACCCCTTTTATCTCCATCCGAAATCGCCTTCCAATTTGGAATGTATTGTGCGTTCTCATCGTTCGGCCCCGAACCGTCACTGGGACGTCCATTCTTCCAGCGTACAAGCGGGACCTCGTTGACGGCACCTCGCTGATTTGCAGCGAACGCTTGAGAGGGGTATTGCATGATAGAGTCGTGGTCGTATGCCGTTTCCGAGTACTGTAGCAACGGTGTCCTGTCATCTTTTGCGAGACCCATATCGGTGCAGTATGCGGTTGGTGCTATAAAATGGAGGCCGTGCATGTATCCCAAAAAGTTGGATCCACAGACGTCCTCAATGGTCTTCCCCTCCCACGCGGGCTCAGTTTCTACTTTCTGCTTGGCAGTCTCGTAGCCTTCGAGTTTGGAGCAGTCGAAGTTGACAAAGTCGTCCCCTGAACTTGTTAGCCGGGATAGAAAGATTGTCTAGCAGGAAAAGCTCACGGTCTTTCCTCTGATGCTCATGTTCAAAGCCAAGAACGTGACCGAACTCATGAACCACCTCCCATTTCCATAAGTCGAAGTCGGCAGGACGCGTAGCCACTACAAGATGCATACTGTGCCGATCGGGATAACTATTTCTTGAAGTAGGAAAAAGGTGTCAGTAACCTGATGATAGAAAGTTGAAGTATAATGCTTGTCAATGACCGACTTACTGTGTCTCTGGGATGAATCCAATAGTTGCTGAAACACCTCCATCAACGGATTTCTTGATCACGAGTGTACCTTCGGGAACAAGGTCGTTCCACTTATCATCCTTCACACAACGTGGATGTAAGTTTATGTCGGCGTCGTGGTAGTGACGAAATCCAACAAATCGATGTCCATTGTCTGAACCCCTGCCCAACTTCATCAGCCACTCGTTTGCTGCCTTGTCCACTGTGGTAAATAGAGTCAGTACTTGCAAAATTCGTGATGTGGAAGGTGACATATAGGATTACTTACCGACGTCGTGGAGCGCGTCGAAGTCCTCATTAGTGGCAAAGCAGTAATAAATATAGACATAGGGGTTCTTTTCGGTGCCCATATCGGGCCAGAACGTTTTATCCGGAACTTGGTTACTGATGACTGTCATCCAGCCTTGACCGCCATTATCGCCGAGCTGTCCAGATACTTCCAGGTCGGCGATGAAGTCGTCGACCAAGGAGCTGTTGGTGAGGCGATTGTTGTTGAATGGAAAACCGCATGCGGAGGTCAGGGACGCAAAAAGACCGGCGAGGAGGAGAAGTAGGAGCTGCATATTGTACGAGGTTTTGGTACAGTTGAGTAGATTGAGAGTCGATGTGTAGACTTGGAAACAGGAGAGTGGGCGGATCTATATACGCAGACAAAGCAGAGTCTCGTTGCTAGCGCGATTGCCTCATCAGACTATCGTGTGCTGCCTGAAGGCGATGGTAAAGGACCAAACGTTCCTGGAGGAAGCTTTGGCCAATATGCAGTCATGGACTTGTGCTCGTGATGATGAGCGGGGTTTGGTCGACTGTCTCTGCACTAGAAGTGCGTTTACAACTCTCAGATAGGAAACGTAGAACCAGTCTCGTGAAAGACTGATATGGCCGTATCGGTGAGTTCGGTAGCCTGAGTAATGAGCTCATTACCTTCCCAAGGGACCCACAAGACTTTCGTAGGATGAGGCAAGGTACGGTAGCCACGATAGTGAGAGTGAATACCAGTGACTGGACGTGTAGTATAGGAAAGCCACAGCAGGCGCACTCGATAACCAGAGAAGCGGAGCCTTTATACCGTATTGTTTGTACAGATCTAGATTGTCAGAGAGTATACACAGCAGAAAACCACTCACAAACCTCTCTTCTTAACAATCGCAACATCAGTAACCATCCTTATCTTATTCACCCCATCCTCAACCTTGAACCACTCATTATGAGGCAACTCGTCCACGATGGAGTCGAGCACCTCGTCCCACATCTCCTCGTGGCGCTGTCAAAGGTGTTGTCTGCGAAGGTGAAATTGCATGCGTCCATTTTTTCCACTTTGACTGGCCACGAGGGCTTGTCGGTGAGATTGGCTTGCAGCTGAGTGAGAAACATGGGGTTTACGTCTGTGGCGTGAATCTGGAGACCTGTTAGGAGGTTGCCTCCCATTGTCGCCATGGTCACTGCGCCGTGACCGTAGCCGTTGTCGTGGATGACTGACGTTGAAGTAAGTGGTGGGAGTTCCTTGAGGAGCTGTCGAGCAACAGAATGGCTGAATTCACTCGAATATCCGATACGCCCTCTTACGAGGCCTTTGTGTCCCGTTTCTGGCTTATCACTCTTGGGAGAAGACCTAGTCTGAGGACTCGAAGTGTGAACGAGGCGTATATGATCGTGATAGCCGAATAGAACAGAGGCCGATAGTAGTTCATGTTCTGAAGGATCGAAATGATTACGTGGTTAGTCTTGGCTTGTTTGAGCTGAGGTGCAGGAGATGTCGGAGGGCTCGGCTACCCCGCGAAGGTTGGCGCGCTGTCGCCGATGGCTCGAGTCGCGAAGCAAGGCACACAAATAATTTGCCTCCTTTGTTATCGAAACAATGTACAAGTCGTCGAATGCGTGTTGATGACTACGAGGGGATGCGTCGGCCTAAAGATGGGACGGTAGTAATGAGATGTGGCTAGTGACGTACGCCACCCGTGGACCGCGTGGGCCGAAACAAACCATAGAACGGGACACGAATTGCCAAGTCGAGACATCCACGAATGCTCCCCCAGAACCCCCAGAGCCTCTTTCCCCCGTAAACCAAGTCTTCTTGATGCGGTAGCGACTGCATTACGCGTCTTTCAAGATGTCTGCGCCAACCACATCGGACCCCATTCAGCAGAGTGGTAGGTGAGCTTGCAGCCCTCGGAGGTGCCAGTAAACTCCGCTTTCACGTCGCGGCCCATGTGGGAGCACGGAAGAATTATACGCTAACAGGCGACGACAGGCACTTTGTCCAAGTCGCAGAAAAAGAAGAACAAGAAGAAAGCCGCCGCTGCGAACAAGGCGGACGGCACGGACAAAGTGAATGGGGACCACGCCAGAAGCGACGCGGAGGATCACGACGAAGACGCCGAGGATGAGGCCGAGCAGGCTGTATGCGGTCCACGAGAGCCCTCTATACAACCACGAGTGCTAATGGTGTCCATGCAGAAGCCCGCCGCGCATTCAGCCGATCCAGACGACGACGACGTAGACGACGACCAACCGCCGCTGTCGCCCACCCTGCAGACCAACGGGACTCCACACCACAGCATCTCGTCCGCAATTGCGCTTGGACTGGCACGCTCACGCTCGCAACAAGGAATCTCCGCGTCCCCGCCGCCCCCTTCGGACGCCAGCGCACGCTTAGACGCGATAGCCAAGGAGCGCGATGCGCTACGCCAGGAAGTCACGGAGCTGAGGAAGAGTCTGGAGGAGGTTCAGAACAAGCAGAGCGCGGGAACATCAGACGAGACACATGCGAACCATGAGGAGGAGATGCGGAGTTTGAGGGAGGAGTTGGATGAGGCCAACGAGGGCAAGGAGCACTTTGAGACACAATACAAGAACCTGCTCGGCAGGGTCAACACGATCAAGACCAGTTTGGGCGATCGGTTAAAGGCCGATGCGGTATGTCTGCACAGGAGTTTGCAGCAGACCGAATACTGACCATGTGCAGGCCAGAATCGAGGAATTCCAATCGCAAATCGCCGACCTCGAGGAGCAAACCCGCGAGTTACAAGAGAACAACAACAGCCTAACCGAGGAGCTCGCAAAGCTACGGCAAGAAAAGGAAGCTCAGGCATCCGAGATTGAGACACTACGGAGCAGGTCGACTCTGTCGCAACAAAACTGGATCAAGGAACGCGATGAGCTGATCTCGCGAGAAGCATACGCCAGGGAGGAGTTCGAGAACGCCAAACAGGCTATGCAAGACTGGGAAGTGTTGGCCATGAACGAGCGATCTCTGCGCGAGAACCTGGCTGAGAAGGACGCTGAATTGCGAGACCAGCTGGAGTCGATGCGGGAAGAGTACGAACGCGCTGCCAGGGATAGGGACACCAATAATCAAGCTGTGGAGGGTCTGCAGAAGGCGCTGCAGGAAGTACAAAACCGTGAGTACAATCCAACCTATAATAATAGTCTTGCCCAACTGACAATGTCTAGTACGAAAAGCCGAGCTCAAAAAGTCCGTCGAGACCTACGAATCGCAAATCAACGACCTGCGGAAACAAGTCCAAGCCGCCGAATCAGCGTCCAACGCCGCCAAAGCCACACTCGAGTCCACACAGAAAGATCTCGAGCGCGCCCTTCCCTTCGAGAAGGAAGTCAAAGAGAAGAACCTGCTCATCGGCAAACTGCGCCACGAAGCCGTAACACTCAACGAACATCTTACGAAAGCACTGCGGATACTGAAGAAGGGTCGGCCGGAAGACAACGTCGATCGACAGATTATCACAAACTACTTTTTGCATTTCCTGAGTATAGACCGGAGTGATCCGAAGAAATTCGAGGCGTTGCAGCTCATCTCTGCGTTGTTGGGCTGGACAGATGGTATGTCCCCCTTCCCTTCCCTCCCCCCTCTCCCTCTCCCCCTTCCCCCACCCATTCTCCCTCACATAACTAACCCCCCACGCAGAGCAAAAAGAGCAAGCAGGACTCGCTCGCCCCGGCACATCATCCAGCTCAACCGGCCTGCGCATCCCCCTCTCCTCGCCCTTCAGACGAACACCATCGACGGCGTCGCTGAGCGCCGCAGCCGCAGACCCCATGCTCATGGCTAGTAGCTCGAGTAATAAGGAGTCGTTGGCGGAGCTGTGGCAGGACTTTTTGGAGAGGGAGGCCGCGGAGGGGAAGGGCGATGCGAGTAGGAGGGGGAGTACGGTTGGGTCGCCGCCGCTGAGAGGGGATGGGTTGGGGGAGAAGAGGTAATGGATGGATGGGTGGGGGTGTGATTATAGGATATTGAGTGGTGCAATAGATGAGGGTGCTAAGGGCACCTTGGGTTGCTTGATTCGGTGTGCATTTACGTCGAAATCACACTGAATGCTTGTCGAGGTGTTCATTTGCAATTGTGTATATCGGAATCTTCCATCCGTAATGTTGTTACATGTTCCATGTACAAGTATCCCAACGCCCAAGCCGCGCCTGTATATGCGCTTGAAATAGTCATGCAGAGTACATGCCCATAATTCCCGTTCACGCTTCCTGCAACCTCCGTGCATCACATCGTCCAGCCTGTGTAGTTCTTGGTCACAACTTCCTCTACCCCGCATCATTTCTTCCAGCCCGTGTGCTTCAGTATTGCCTCTTCCTTCGCCTTCCTTTGGTCGGGCTCTATCGTCCGAACCCGGTGCGCCTCTTCGCGCTTTTCTCTCTTCATGACCTTCACTTGCTTGTCGGTCGGTCGGCGGATGGCCCAGTTGAGCTGGCCGAAGATGTTGGTCTTGATGGCTGGGGTGTTTGTTAGCGAATGGCTCTCTTGATATAGAAATTGGCAGTCTTACCATCCACGCAGTAGGGACATAGAATGTGCAGGCGCTTGACTCTTCCGCACCCGGAACATGTGTTGAGCGATGTGATGTCCTTCAGCCCTTTGCCCGCCATGAACCGTTGGCGCTTCTTGCGGTATGACGTCTTCTTCTTGGGTACTGCATTGAGTATGCCATCCCATATATCGGATAGTGACGGTATTGAGGGGAGTGATAGGGACGGTATTGCGAGTGCGCCGAATGATGTGTTGATTGCGCCGAAAGGCTGTGATAGGCGTTGGAGGAAAGGCGTGTTGAGGATAGGCCGCATTGGGCCATTGAGGCCGGGCAGCAGCGTCTGCCACAGCGGAGGGAGCGGACGGGTGAGTGCCATGACTGCAGCGGGTGACTGGCTGCGACGGGATTACGTAGGGCCGCGAAATGGCGATGCCGGTGATGGAGTTGTAAAATGTCGAGACCCCAGTCCGAGCTTGCAGGTCGCGCCTTACCGCCCTCCCACTAGCGCGCTTTCGCTTCCTAGCTGCCCCCTTTCCCGCGCCTGCATCTCCACGAGAAAGTCGCCAGCGCAGCGACCCTGACTATTTACTCTATTACGACGACACCTCCGACCCTCCTCTCCCCAACCTAATTCCCATTTACCCACCCACCCCCATCACCCCCAGTCCGCGCCCCGAGGCTCCCATCATCCACAATGGCTGCTGCATACAACCAGAACCAGTCGCAGCCCATCTTCCC